GTGCGAGTCGTGGCAACGAAAGCCCGGCCGGCGCATTGCAGCCAAAGTCGCTCGTTTGATGCATCATAAGGCACCTATCACTTGGTTCCCTCCCTCCTTGTTATTGGATAGTACGAGTACGGAGCAATTCCAATTAGTATGTGCTACTGACGGGACAAACAGACAGACAGACAGACACCGTACATACATGCACTGCGACCACCACAAAGAGCGGCTGGCAGGCCATATGGTCAAGCAGGCAGGCTACGAGACGAGTACTCATACAAAGCACCTCTGGCCCGTACTGTACATACACACAAGCGCTCGGATGGCACCCTGGGAGCCATTGGGGCCATTGGACACCTCGCAAGGTGCGCACTTCAAGGCTCCGCGAGTCTAGCGTCGACGGATTGCAACCTCCATCTCCGCCAGCTACTGTAGGTAGGTATTGCCTTGGAACCCACCGCGAGACAGCCGGAGGACCCTTAAATCGGGGAACCACCTTGAGGCCGCGCTAGAGCCCACTCTTTTTGCTGTTGGTCATTCATGTAGGACTTTTTAGGCCGGTGACAGACAGTCTGGACGACTGGAGTGATTGATGCCTCGTCCTCGTGCCTGGTGAGGAGGGAGGGCACTGCCTCTCTTGTCTGGTCATCACGGCTGCCTCCATTAGCACCTGTACGGGTTGATTGATTGATTGATTGATTCACACTCGACGAGGCGAGGAGAGGACGGCATCTCATCTCGGTGCTACTCCTGGATGGTCGTAGTCCAAGCCCAAGCCCAAGCCCATGCAAGGGCGTCTTTTCCCAGCAGCTGCGGCGCCATGGGAAAAAGTATCAATACCTCCCAAAACAGCCCGTCTTATTAGTACTTTGTACCCAGCGGGCGCACCACAGCGCATGTGTACATGCATACACCACATACATGCATCGCCGTGTCTGGTCTGGTGCGACCGGCTGCCGCTGCGTCATGTACCGAGTACGAGAGTCGACTAAAAGATTCTGCCGGGCGATTGCTCCCAACGAGGCCTAAATTAGGCTCACCGCACTCGAAATGTTATTGTTGCGTCTTGTCTACCTCATTCTTACTTGCTGCGTTGTGTATTGTGTGTATTGACAGCTCATGCTCCCCCCCGCCTTTTCCTTCTTTTCCGGCCTTTATCTTCAATCGTTTTGCTTTTTCCCCTTCGTGGTCAGGCCGATGCTACCGGGTGGATGCCCGCCAATGGCTGCCGGCGATTTGAGACAGATCGTCGCATCCCCAAATCAAGCTTTCCCAGCCTCACTTTTCATCTCCACGATGCCATCGTCCGTTGCTGTGAAACGTGAAACATGGGGCCTCCTCAATGACCGTCGTGCTCGCCCTTTTGCTCCGGGGGCAAACCAAGCAGCTCCCGTGCAACTAATCATGATCATGTCCGGGCCTCCCTCCCCAATGTGATCCCAAAGGCCGCGCGACATCTACCTTGCACACCTTGCACACCTTGTATGCTTTGTAGCGTGTGCTTGATGCATCTTTTTTTGACTCTCGCAAGTGGCCCCCCTGCCTGCTCAACGCGGTCACGGCCAATCCCATGTCCACAATCGACGAGTCTGCCGCAGATTGTAGGTATACATCAAACTCTCGACTCCATATCATGACCCGTCCTTGCATAGTTGCATATTCATGCAGCTGGGACTCGTCATCCAGCAACTCAACAAAACAAAATCCATACACGTACTCGTAGCGCCTGTACAGGACTGTGTGTACAGAAATGTGTGTACTTTACTACAGTCTAATACTACCTGTACCAAGGTATAGCGAATCGATCCCGAGGTCCGGGGTTTCATTCCTCTTGCTCGCTCTAGCCCTGACTACTTTGTACTACCTCTACTCGCTATGACATGGGCCTTGTTTTAGCGTTTACATCGCAACACCAACGCTCAACGCTCTTCGTTTGACGCTCCAAGGGGGTGTGTTTCACGAATACGGGCTGTTTCTCCTCTATACGCGAGGGGACGCTGTCGCACTCAGAGGACGGAGCACTGTACAGTAACAGCATTTTCCGTGGATTTTTTCCATCTTTATTTTTAGCATCCATGGGGTTCGTCCTAGGCGGGTATGGGGACCCATCGCATCGCATCATCACAATCATATGCACCAAACTCCAGCCACCCTTGGCTTGCTTGACTCGGTCAACGCTGACAGCCCTTGACATCACCAGCCTCAGGCCCCATGGCACTCGAATTGCCTCATTCAGGTTCCAGGTGAGAAAAACGACGAGCTTTCCCATCCCATGGCTCAACTCGCATCACGTCAAAACACTCGCTCATCCGTCACCTGACGCTGCCTCCCGCTACTGCATGACCATCGCCATTGATCTCGACACGTGCGATCCTGTTGTGACGAAAAGACGGTATAATCAATCACACAACACACCTTTTCTTTCCCATCTCCTCATGCGACGCAAGGATCTCGGCGCCAGTGCAATCCCAACGTGCTCGCCCGTGTCTGAGGCGGCTTGAGGCGGCTTCGCGGCTTCAGTCCGTCCTGTGTCGTAGTGACATGCCGTGTCCCGTGCGGATGGCTTAGACCGATGCGCCGGCTTTGGCTGTATTTCTCGTAGGAGAGGGGATGGATCGACGCGAGGAGCAGCTGAGAATCAAGCCCGAGCGAGTTCAGCAGAATGGCTTATTCCCTGCTCTGCTTGGCCAGGCACTGCGCCAACATCGAGGCAATCGTGGGCTGTCAGTTTACCTTACCTCGACTCTAAGAGCTGGGGCCGGCTTCTAGATTACAGGACCGTCGAAACAGCCCGCCCTGCATAAGGTGCTGCATCGATCGATCACGACAGCCTCAGCTAGTGTTAGATGGGAGCCACGGCAGGACACAAGGCAACACAAGCCGTTCTCATGTCCTATCATGGCGAACCACGTCCCCAAGCACCCGAATCCCTTCATGAGGAGAAACCCCAGCTTAAGCTACAGCGCGCATCATGACATCAGTGAGATGAACACAAAGATCTGCAAATTCACCACCCGCTAGTCGGCTTGTCGGATTTTACCCCATGACGTTGGAAATCATGGCCTTCTGGGAAAAGTCAAGATGATGGACCAGGCTTGCCGCATTGGGCCTTTTCAGTCTGCCCTACCTTGTCAACTTGTCTCATGCACGCTGATTAGATTGGCATGGATTCTAAAGTACTGTACTGACTGAGTACAGGCTCTGAGAATACCTTAGTACGGCATTGAGCCTCATCGCCACCTCACCTTGCGTCTCCATCCCCCAGGCAAAACACTTGCGGCGGCAAGGCGTCAAATTGATAAGATGGCCATTTTGATCCAATAGCCACATTGTTCTCTCTCCATAATCTAGGCGAGGCATTATAGACAGATGGCAACATATGTTACCCCCCGTCCAACCTAGTTATAGACTACCTACTTACTCCATAATCCAGGCATCCAACGCTACAACACCACGGCCATGAACCTATCACATCGAATCGTTAACGCGCACACACAAACTGTGACTCTACCCGTCCATCAATCAATATCAAAGGCACGCAGTACCTGAGAGATAATGCGACCCTCCTCCCCTTTCCTCCTTGACCTTCTTGCTGTACCTATTACTCACCCCGTCTAGTCCTGCATATCTAGCACACTCACTTACACACACCCCTTCCTTACAAGCCTTGCATATACTACTACTACTGCTCCTACTCTTGTCTCCCCGCTTTCAAACCCCATATCTCCTGCATAACGCTGCCTTGGACTAAGCCCTCCGAATTACTCCTCTAGGCACCGAGCCTGCCATCCCATTGGGTACGGAATTGCCATGGCCTGAATCTAGACTCAGCACACCCTTCTTTTTTTCCTTTCCCTTGCCTTACTATGGCGCTCAAAACGCCCTCCGAGAGAACCGTCTCCATCTCGGAGAGCGAAAAAAAAACACAAGACGACCATTTCCCTTATCAGTCATGTCTCGGCTTCTTTCCCGACTTGGAGACTTGTAATGCTGTGAATTGCACGCGCTTCTGCCACTTACGTGACCCAGAGTGTCCTTGCATATTGATCTGTTACAAGCTCCAATAGTTTTGGAGTACGAGTACACAGATAGGGCCACCGCGTTAATGCACCAATGCCTGCTCTTCAAAAAATAAAAATAAAACGCCGGCGATTTGTACCCAGGGAGGCGTACGACAGTTAACCTTGTCAGCCCAAGCCAAGTGTTTTTTTGACTTTTCGTCGTACAGAACACGAATGGGAATATGCAGACTGGATGCCGTTTGAGCCGGCTCCGGCCAGTAGCAAAAGAGGTGATTGTACAAGTCTGTAAATGCATGATTCGTCGGTGTAGAGCAGTCAAGCTTCTCCGCTTGAAATGCAAGTGACCGCTTGGCGAGATAACAAGTTCGACTAGACATGACACGTAGGTGGTAAGAGAATATCATTGACAAGCTTGTTCTGGGCTGGTCTAGCAGGTGCAGCCATACCATACACTCACGCCTGGTTGTAAAAACAGACTTCTGCCTGGGCCTAGCTTTACTTCAAAATGTCATCTCATTTCGTCGTCGTCCTGCATTTCCAACAGGTACTAATGCTACACACTACCAAAAAGAACCATTTGCGCCGCGGACATTGGCCATTCTGTCCGACCTGACTATTCGTCAGGGAAAAAACCGCTTCCGGAACCAAATGATGCTATAAAAAAGAAAGAAAGAAAAGTTATCACTCCCACAAAGGGGAGAGATGGAGTCCCAAAACAAAAATCCAAATATGCTCCCGTTCCTATGCTGCTTCATGACCGGTCCTGGCTATCCCTTGGGTATCTTATATGTTTGACGTGGTAAATCAAAAAGGAAATTCTTTCGTCTCTCTTTCCGCGTGGGTCGCCTTCATAATTCCCGGAGCTCGCGCTCACGAGGCAGCTGCGTCTACTTCTCGTAGGACGGTACGCCGTCAAGCCACACCCCATACACACATACACACCATCACCTTCTTTTTCAGACTGCTGGAGGAAGAAGTCGTCAAATATCAGATTTAATGGCCGTTGGTCTGAGGGGCGGTGGGAAGCTCCTTCAGGGCCTCGGCAATGATGCCAAGGCCCTTGTTGAGCTCCTCCTCAGTGATGACAAGAGGAGGCGCGAAGCGGATGATGTCTCCGTGCGTTGGCTTGGCCTAAAGGAGGGCCGTTAGCAAAGGAACTGCAGAAAGAAAGAGGGGTAATGAAGATGGGGACACGGGGTAGAATAAGGCAGCCGTGATGAGAACGCAGAGATGCCTGATAGGCAGACATGGACTTACCAAAAGGCCCTTGCTCTTCAGCAGGAGGCAGAGATCCCACGCAGTTCGGCCAGAAGCAGCCGCCTCGTCAATGACAACAGCGTTCAACAGACCCTTGCCGCGAATCGTCTTGATGATGGGCGACTTGAGAGCGGCCACGCCGTCGCGGAAGATGTTGCCCAGACGCTCAGCGTTGGCAGTCATGTTCTCCTCCTCGAGAATCTCCAGAGCTCGGATGGAGACGGCACAGCCCAAGGGGTTACCGCCGTAGGTCGAACCGTGAGTTCCGGGCTCAACAACCAGCATAATCTCCTTGCTGCTGAGGACGGCACTGACGGGGTACATGCCTCCGGAGATGGCCTTGCCGAGAGTGACCATGTCGGGCTTGATGCCGGCCCACTCGGAGCAGAGCAGACGGCCGGTACGGCCGATGCCGGTCTGGATCTCGTCGCAGATGAGGAGGACGTTGTGCTTCTTGCAGAGAGCTTGGACCTTGGTCAGGTAGTCTTCGTCGGGGACAACAACACCGGCCTCACCCTGGATGGGCTCAACGATGAAAGCAGCGGTGTCCTTGCCATGGGTCTCCAAAATCTCCTCCAGGTCGGCCACGTTGTTGTAACGGATAGGCTTGCCAGTGGAGGGAGAGGTAGCGCCAATGTTGGGGACATAGGGGCCGTAGTTGTCCTTGGATTCGGGGTCGGTAGACAGAGTGATGGCGGTCATCTGGAGAGAGAATGTTAGTTTACATCTTTTGACCGCGTTTCAAGTACTGATTCAAGGGAATCAGTCCATTTTGCCCAAAATAGGCTGGCACACTTACGGTTCGGCCGTGGAAGTTCTCGGCAACGCAAAAGACCAGTGCCTTGCCCTGCTCAACGCCCTTGACCTTGTAAGCCCACTTGCGGGCAATCTTGATGGCCGTCTCGGTAGCCTCAGCGCCGGTGTTCATGGGCAGCACCATGTCGTAGCCAAAGACGTTGCGGACCTTCTCGGCCCACTTGGGGAACACATCGTTGTAGAAGGCTCGCGAGCTCAGCGTCAGGCGGGAGGCCTGGTCGACAAGAGCCTTGACGAGCTCGGGGTGGCAGTGGCCCTGGTTGACGGCGCTGTAGGCGGACAAGAAGTCGAGGTACTGCTTGCCCTCGGGATCCCAGACGTGGACGCCCTGGGCCTTGGAGAAGACCACGGGCAGAGGGTGGTAGTTGTGGGCAGCGAACTCGTTCTCGGCGGCGATGGCAGCATCGGTGGATGCGGCGTGGAAGCGGGAAGCCATGGTGAATAGATTGCTGATGTTGTATTTGGAAAGAATAGGTCTACGTCCGGGGCATTAGTCAATGACGAACCAACAGCAAGATGGAACGGATGCGAAGGTGGTGTCAGATCGGAAGAAAAGGGTATTGACGATAAGCCGATGCAGGAGGGAGGGGCAGAGATAAGGCTGGGTAAAGGAAGCCGTGATTCGGAGCTGCTGTGCAATGGACATACCGGTCGAAGGGGGGGGGATGATGAAATTCCACGCGATTGCTATGGAGAGAAGAGAAAAAGAAAACAGAAGAAAAAAGAAGCTGTGAGTCGAAGCCGGTCAAAGATACGCGGTGGGTATATAAAGTTTTGTGGTTGGCGAAACCCACCCCCGGGCCCCGGAGACCACCTGACCGGGCAAGGCAATTCTAGGCACAAGCAGCCCAGTCGAGAAGAGAAGCGCGGAATCGGTGTGTCAACTACTCGACCCAGATCCAGGCATTGGAGACGAGATACGCCGCCGCTATACCCCTAAGTGCAAGTGGGAGTAGAAGCGGGTGGAGATGCGGAACATGTTGCGCCAAACCAACGCCGTGGCGCCGAACCGGAGGACGAGGCTCGCAGGATTCGGATGGCCCACGAGACGAGCGACGGCCGGCTGGCTTCGGCATTCCGAAGTTTTGGACCCCTAATCAGCATTGATGGAACTTAACCCAGCGGGCGGGTGGAGGGGCAATCGAGATGGGCTATTAGTGTGTTGTGTGTGGCTGGGCTGGCCGAGGATCCGGAGAATGAAGAAGAGTTGGTTGAAGCTGGGACGCAGACAGATGGAGATGCTACCTGGACATCTCAGCTCTTGGTATACTTGCCTCTGTGAAGAGCAATCAGTCTAGCAGTGAGTTGTTGGTGATTCTCTTCTCTTCACATCGTGGAGATTCCCAGAGTCATCGATTGGATGAGATGAGCGAATAGTACAGCAAAACCCCCCACAGTTTGGCCATGATTTCAGGTTGCTTGCGATAAAAGCGGGGTGCAAAGGCGTGTCAAGAGCCGTGTCCAGCCAATAGCCGTGGCAGTATTACGTACCGTGCAATGGCAAGCAAGCTCGAGGTGTGATTGATTGATTGAATGAATGATTGATTGAATCGTTGGGTTGGCAACATCAGAAGCTCAGGTGACATGATGTAATGCTTGCTGCAGGGGGGAATGTGATTCTGCTGCTGCTGCTGCTGCCGATTGTCGGTAATAGATAAGATGGAGTACCTATGCACCTGTTGATTGGCATCTCGTTTGGTGGTCTTGATAGAAATGGTTAGGTGGATAATCCAAGTGGAAAATAACATGTGCTGTGCTTTCACGAAGCCTCCCTCAATGTCTGAATGCTATCCAGGTGCACATGATGCAATCAGTCTTGCTGTAGCTACCTGTACCCATCACGAAAGCACATCCCTACGGCATTCATATTAACCAGAAGGTACCAAGTATTACATGGCAAGATGGAAATACAAGCAAAAGAAGCCATAGTTCATGATAGATGCCGTCAATTGCAAGTTCCACTGCACCCGGTGATTGATTGATTCACGCCATGAATAAACAGCTGCTCGATGTCCCCTAAACCCCCAAAAAACACAGGCAGCTTAGGCCACCAACCGCCCTCTAGCGGCCCCCTGTAAACCCGCAGTCCACCACCCTTTTCCTCCCCCCCAGTGGAACCTCCAAATCAACCACTAACACCAGACAGCTTCACCACATCATGACCGGCCACAGACGCGCTCCGTCGGCCTCGTTCAAGGCCAAGCCGCGCCTCTCCCCCGTTCCCCTGCGGGACATCTTCATCATCCGCCTCGTCAATGCCTGGTATCTCGCCACCTTCTTCCAGCCCGACGAGTTCTTCCAGGCGCTGGAGCCGGCTTGGCGCCTCGCCTTTGGGGCCAACAGCGGCGCGTGGCTCACATGGGTATGTTCAAGTCGTCTCTTATATCTATCCAGGGACTATCATACATCATCAATTGGAGATGTAACACTAGACTCAGATCAATTGGAAGCTTCACATGGTCAATTCCCCCAGCTAACAACCCCGCAGGAATGGCATTACCAGCTGAGATCCTCACTCCATCCTCTCCTCTTCTCAGGCGCCTACATCACCGCAGATCGCCTCTCCGCCATCTTCCCCCCAGGAAACGCCATCCGCTCCGCCATTGTCATTGCCGCTCCCCGCGTCCTGCAAGCCTTCATCGCCGCCCTGGGAGACTGGTACACCTGGCATCTCGCCGCCAACGTCTACGGCTCTGACAGCAATGTGTCCTTCTTTGCTGTAAGTTTTCACTCTCTCGCCCCCTGGATTCATAAACCCCCGAGCTCTCTCACTCACATCTCACACAGCTCTTCATGCAACTCCTCAATCCATGGCAATGGTACTGCTCCACCAGGACATTCTCCAACTCCCTAGAGACAACCCTCACCGTCATGGCCCTGTGCTACTGGCCCTGGCAGCTCGTCGGCGTCGCCCCCTATTCCATCAAGGAGAACTCGAATCCCTTCAACGTCCTGCGCGGCAAGCTCTGGCGCCTCCGCGCCTCGCTCTGCCTCGCCGCCTTTGCCGTCGTTTTGCGTCCCACCAATGTCCTCATCTGGCTCACCATTGTCTTCGTTGCCCTGACGAGAATCACGTTGCAGGGCAACTCGCCCTCGAGCTTGTCTTCCGTCCTGGTTCTCTTCAGAGAGGCCATCCTGTGTGGTTCCTTGGTCGTCAGTCTTTCGATTGTCGCTGATCGTCTTTACTTTGGCTTCTGGACCTTTCCGCCTTACAACTGGCTCAACTTTAACATTTCCAAGTCGCTTGCCGTCTTCTATGGTCGCAACCCCTGGCACTATTATCTTCTCCAGGGCATTCCTCTGCTCTGCACCACCAGTTTGCCCTTTGTCCTCCCGGCGCTAATCAGGCCTTCATCCAAGACCGCCGATCAGGCCAACACCCTCAGGACACTCTCCTGTACCGTCTTCAGCACCGTCGCCGCGCTCTCTCTCATCTCACACAAGGAAGTCCGCTTCATCTACCCTCTGCTCCCGGCTCTCAGCGTCCTCGCCGCCCCGCGAGCCGCGTCCTTCTTCACCATCGTTCCCAAGACAAGTCCACCCCCCTCCATCTCCTCCGCGGCCCAGATGTCCGCGCCCCAGCCCTCCGGAACCAAGTCACCCACCGTCCGCCGCGCTCGCCTCCGCAACAAACCTCTCCTCCTCACTGCTCTGGGAATCAACGTCATCCTCGCCGGCTACCTATCATTCCTACACCAACCAGCTCCTCTCACCGTCCTATCATTCCTCCGGAAACAATACGAACGCATCCACCCTTCCGCCGTTCACACCGCCCACGCAACTCACTACAGCTCTCCCCCAAACGCCACACGGGAAGACCTCTTCGCCCTCTTCCTCATGCCCTGCCATTCCACCCCCTGGCGCTCCCACCTCGTCTACCCAGGCCTCTCCGCCTACGCCCTCACCTGTGAGCCCCCGCTGCACACCCAGCCAAACACCCCCGAGCGCGACCTCTACCGCGACGAGGCCGACCGCTTCTACGACAACCCCGTCCCGTTCCTCCGCCACGAGCTCTTCGCCCCAGGAAACCCCGTTGTCCCCGTCCCGCGGTACATTGTCGGCTTCGAGGGCGTGGACCCCTGGCTGCGCGAGTTCCTGGACACCCCCGAGGGTAAAGGACTGGGTATCCCACAACTTACCCCCGTCTGGGCTGGTTTCAACGGGTTTTTTAACGAGGACTGGCGAAGGGCCGGTTATATGATGGTTTGGGACACGGGTGTTTACGGAGAATCCGGCACAAAAGCTTGATTTATGGCTTCGTTTGCGATTTCACGTGTTTCAGTTTTGTGTAGTTTCTTGATTTGGAATGTACTGGCATCATGAGAAGGAGAGAAAAGTAGCGAGCGGCTGATTCGTACCACACACTTATATACCTACCTTGCATACTAATGTACCTAAATACATCATAATAATTGACAAACTCTCACAATTAATCACCTCTGGCACAAATATCTCAAGTAAACCCAACTTATTTAGAATCTATCACTTGTATTTTTTCTCTCTCATCTCATTTTTACATTGCACAACGGCACAACACCGACATATGTCTCTCATAAACTGAAATAGTTTCGTACCTAGGTGTTTCCCATTCCAACATGCTTCCTCACATACATACAACCAATGTTTTTTAGACGTCAGAGTTCCTTTCCCACCCTCTCCTCTCCATCGCGCGCGGAAACAAAGCCATCGAGTACATGACGACAAAGGAAATTCGTTAATTCTAAAAAAAAGGAGAAGAGAAAATTTTGGAACAAAAAATGGGGAGTGGTAGAAGAAGAGAAGAAGAGAAGAAGAGAAGAAAAAAAGACCATCCCGCCAACTCCTCGTAATCCTAGATACATCTCGTCTCATGGAAACAAAGCGTTTCAACCAAGGTCAACTATGCTTGTTTTCCCTCCTGCTCTTTATCTACAGCAGATGTCGATGACTGTTCCACGGGTGGCACCGTCTCAGAGGAAGGATTTGTCGGAGCCTGCGTCTTGGGCTGGGTGGTCATCTCGGGAGCCGCCTCCTTGGCGACATCAACGGGCGGTTGGACCTTCTGAGCAATGGATTCTGCCGGTGCCTTCTCTGTATCGCTAATGACCCTGTGGATTGTCATGCCTTGAGCGGGCTCTCTCTGAACTGCCTCTGCCTGACCAAGCTTTCTGTAAGCCTCTGCTGGGGCATTTATCCTGTCTTTCTGCACATCTTTAAAAGCATCCTGCTGGGCTGGCTTTCCAATGGAGTTTTCTTCCTCTCGAGTCAAGTCTCGATTTATATCTAAGCTCTTGCCGCGTGCCACCAGCAGGCTCGGCGCAAGTCCTTGATGGTGGTCTGGAGGAGGCGGGGACTTGGTTCGCTTCTGGTCTGCGTTTTCTTTGGCCTCTCGATACTTGTGCTTTATCCAGCCAATCGGGCCTTTTGCGTCCTCCCTATCATCCCGGGAGCTTTCGTACGTGTATGCGCGATCGCTGCCGCTTGGTAGATGCTCCGAGCTTTCGCCAGTAAAACTTTTCCGGGGCATAGCAATGGCGCTTCCAATCGAGGTGGTGCTAATATCTGCGTTATTGTTCGAGCCTATGTTGAACTGCGGTGGCGATGCCCTGGGACTGCCCGGTCCGCTTGCAGGGTCATCTTTCTTGGTGGGCCTTGACAATCTCCATCGGCTCTTCTTTTCTTTATCAGCCGTCTCGACAATTGCTGGCAACGGGGCCTCGTGAGCTACTTGCTCAAAGTCCGAGCCGTCGTTGAAAGATGAGTTTACCGAAGCAGGGGGAGACTTCTTTCCCCGTGAGATGTCTTCAGGTCGCAGCTGCTCTTGATAATGAGAAACCGAGTGATTGTGGTGGTGATCAGCATGATTCTGGTGAATCACAGGGGTCGAGTGCTGGTGATGTAAATCCGGTTGCTTTTGGGTCTCCACAGAGGGCGCCGAAGCAAAAGGCGACGGCTGGGGCACTGAATGAGGAATGGCAGTCGGGCGGAAATGAGGCTGTGCTACGGGCTGTGCAAAGGCCGGCGCCGCTTCCAAGGGGTTCCCAGATTCTGTACCTGGCGAGGCAGAATGCGGGAGCGACGTAACCGAGCTCTGTGCACTGATGCTCATGCTACCTGGTATCCGCTTCTTCTTCAGCTTGTTCGGCTGCCGTTTGTCGTTGCTCTCATGCATTGGGGATCGTTGAAACAGTTGCTCTAGCTTCTGTAAGTTCTGGTGATGATGCTTCGACGGCGTGGAGTGTTCGTGAGGGTCTAGCAATCTCTCTTGGCTCCGACCAGGTGATACCAAACGATCTGGAGAAAGATGCATTTCATCAAAAGTCCTATGTATTTCGTTGGGCGTGGAAACTCGTGGGGGTACCTCCAGCTTGGTCTCCGCGGGTGGGTGAGCTGGTGTCAAGGGTTCTAGAGCCGGGGAGTGCGGCGCGCGAGCAGGACTCTCAGTCTTCTTGAACTTTCCCCCTACCAAAGCTGGAGATTTCTTGGATGGCACGGTATTGCTCCTAGCTAAACCACCACCAGTGGGCGTTGCTGCTAGGGCCGGGCTGTTGGGCGTGGCTGCGCCGTCGACCCTTGAATGTCTGGAGGAGACGGATCGGTTCCGTCGAATCATGCCATCCTTTCGAACGTTCTCAGCGCCCGCACTGGCGTTGGACGCTGTTCTCCCCAGGCCCGAGCTCCGATCCGGGTTCGGCGTACGGGGTCCGTTGGAAGGCCCGGAGGCCACCTGCTGCATCGTCTTCTCATCTGCCTCAGTGCCTTGCATACCAATAAGGAAATGGTCTTGGTTCTCAATGAGGAAGATGATGACGCATTGGTTCAGGCGGTACTCCTCCGGGGCCATTGCATGAGAGGGGTGAGACAGCATGCCGGGCTGAAAAATAGCCGCCAAATTCTGAGAGTTCATGCGGTTCTCGTCGGATTTGGCAGCAAAGACGGCCAGCAGATCCAGGATGTAAAGAAGCAGCTGTTTGTTAAGCGGGGGCAGTTCGGTAATTACCTTTTGGTACTTGATGATGGCTCCTCTCTCGTCAAAGTTTTCAACGAATTGAGGACCGTCTGTATCGCCGACTGCCTGCTTTGTAGCCCCTCGAAGGGGGTCGCGGAATTTCTCGTACAGGTCTAGAGGCACTACAGGCTCGGGTAGATCGTTGAGATATCTTCGGAGTACCGTGGCGGCATCATGGACGGTGTATCCGTCCCAGACGAGTCCCTTGCCATATCGATCAGGCGAATCGAATATCGTCTTGAGCTCCTTGATTCGTTTCTCGGACCCGTTCAACCGAAAGATGCCTTCAACACCAGTAGCTAGTTCGAAGTGTCAGTAGCGGGATCGAACTCATTCCTGCTCTTCCATCCGACGTACCTTTTTCTTTCAAGAAGACACCACACTTGGCGACGACAATGGGAACGTAGCCGTAGATGTAGCTTTTGCCATTCTCGTCAACAAGAGAGATGGCAACGTTTGCGTATGTTATACTCTGTCGGAGAGGGACTCCAAAAATGCCCGGGCCGCGGTTGTCTAAAATCCATGGCATTAGTTGCACATGTCAATACGACCAAAACGAAATACTGATGTGGTTTTTTCCCCTCTCCTTCTTTTCTCCCCCTCCTTTTTGGGGAGAGGTAGCCAAGGGACAGTGGGGATGACAAGACAGAAGGACGAAAGTAAAAGATGGGCGAAGGATCTGCATCGCTTGACACGCTGCCTCTGTAGGTGAGGCTATCCAACGAGTATTTGCATTGCGACCAAAGTCCCCGGCATCAGCAGGCCTATGCAGCACACAAAGGAACCAAGCGAATTGAAATCGATACCAGAAGACCTGAATAGCGACCAGAGCGTCCTAAGCGAGGCAAGGTGTCTGCGGGTGAATGCACAGGGACCGGCGGGAGGGGAGGTACTGGAGGTTGAGAGCGTACCCTGCGGAGACGATTCCTGGTGCTTGGTGGGCAGCTTGAAGTTCTTCCACCACGACTTGAGATCGCGTTTGTTCGGCGGCGACGCGGGCGTGTTGGGCAGCGCAGGCTGCGGAGGCGGGCTGCCCTGGTGCGCATTCGGATTGCTAGACGTCATGGCAGGCGGCGGCGCACGGAAGACCGGCGGGCTAGAAGAGAGGCAGCGCGGCCAGAGTCAAGATTCAACGGGCAGAGCGTCTCGACGAAGCCCCGGATTGCCCTGGCGGGAGGGGGGGCGCAATGAGCGATGCGGCTCCCGAAGGAGAGCGAGCGAGGGGCGGCAAAAGCGAGGGCAAGACAAAAGCAAGCCAGTCTAGTAGCGCAGCAGGTGTCGGGTCGAGCACGAGGGAAACCGAGAGTGTCGACGATCTCTGGGCGGGAAGCGCAATCGCAGCGGGAAGAGGAGAGGATGGGAGGATGGGAGGATGCACCAACGGCGTCTCCAAAAACTTGTCTCGACCGTCAGTCTGGCCTTCGCAGCTATTCGCTTCGCCGGGCAGGGAGGGCTGGAGAGCGGGCGATCCAAGGGTGAACTAGCGGCCAGGTGCCCCGACGGGATAGAGACATGAGGGAGGCGATTCCGGGCGCAAGAGGAGCAGAGCAGGGCAGAGGAGCGAGAAGCCGGAGAGAGGATGAAGACGGGAGGTGAGGATCAAGATACGGGAGGAAGGAGGTGACACGGCGTCTGGCTGTGGTGTTGCACTTTGTCGCTGTCTGAGGTTTTTGGTGGCGGGTGGCACAGCACTTGAGCGTACATGTATGTACCTCCCGGTAGCGCGGTCTTGCAGCCCCAGGGCCAATGGTTCGTTTCGTTGGAGCGCTGATGACTGGCGGCGACAGCAGGCTTGGGCGAAACACAGGCGCCAAGGGAACCGGTGGGCACGAGGTACCGACCGCTACCTGCACGGGCTGGCGGGACGCGGCGCTACAGTACAAACATGTACAAGCTCAGTGGCACAGTCAGGTCAGTGCCCAAATCTACAGGGCACTTGCAGCAGCATCTCAGCCTGGACTCTTGTCCGACCAGCCCCTCTGCTTTGCTTTGCTTTGCTTTGCTTCTCCTCTAACAACCCAATACACACCACAATACACCCACCGACAGACTCCAAAACGTGCCAGGGGAAAAAGAATGAGGCGGTGCACGGCCGAGCGAACGAGGGGTTGGCACAATGGCGAATGACGTTGGCGGCCAGCATGTTTCGCTCTGGGATGATCGGCGCCTGGATCTCCAAAGGCTTGGGGCAAACAAGGCCACGATCCCTGCAAAACGGGCGAGGGACGCTGTTTGACGGAGAGCTCTTTGGAGGGGGGCCCAGCTAGAGACACGCCTGATCCTTTTTCAGCTGGGACCCGTGACGATGGCTGTGGTTTGGTTTGATTGAGCTGTTGCGGGAGACGGGCTACTTTAGTCGGCAGCATCCATGGCTCTCATCAGCTTGCAGCAGGCGAGCAGGCGAGGGGGATGATGACATGGATGTTGTGCTGCTGCAGCCTTGCGGAAGTCCTACAGCACGGGCGAGCGAGGAGGAGCCTGTAACAAGATCCATCCACGGAACCTAACATAAGCTGGGGGCATTTTGGTCTGACTCGTTCGTATAATAGCCTGCTTGCCTGCTTCAGATGGAGAGCAACATGTATGTACGACCATGTACATACACATCAAGGGCATCATCATCAATCACCCAAAGGCCCCGGATGGATTGATTAACACTACTCCATCTTGTGTCTTTTTTTAGCATAGCCTCTCGGTGCTAGTCAAATTGCTGATCCAATCCGTCCCTCGTCCAAATCCAGCTCTCACCTGAACAAGCATCTTTTTCTGCTCAATTAACTTTATTCCTGCATATACGCGTCAATTAGCACCATCAAACGAACTAGCTTGACTTGTCTCGTATTTGTTTACTCCCGACGCGACAGGTGCATCATCGACTTCGAAATATTCCATCGAAATCGCCGCCAGGCTTATGCCAAGGCGCCCTCATGATGCCGTTGTGGCTTGGGGCAGGTCAAGGGGTGCCAGGCTGACTTGAACCAGTAGGTTGTTTGAACAGGGTTGATATGGAGAACAGAGAGACATTGTCGGTTACAGTGGTATCATCATCGTGAAAGCCCTCGGTCCTGTCAGAGCCAATAAATACTTGGACAGGTAAGCCCTTGTGTCTGTTTTTGCCCGCATTGCAGAGAGCAAACCAACCCCGAGCATAGCCACGCTTGCGCTCGGCTTTTCGAGGCTCACGATGACTGCAGTCCCTACGCTTCAAGTAGCAGCAATACGGACTTTTATTATCAACCCTTGTGTTTGTTTAACACGGCAGACCAAGGCGAAAATCATATTCATGTGCTAATACCGGCTGGGCATAGGCTTGAAGCTATTCAGGTCCAAGATGCGCAAGGTCCTGCAGTTTGCTCCCTTCAGAATGGAGGAGGTATAGACCTTAAGGTTGTTCTTGCAAGTGTCTGATACTATCGCTATCATCATAAAAAATTTAGTATATTTGAGTTAAACTCAGTCCCCTTTATCTGTGACTGTTTGTTCTGTGGCCGCATCTCCTATAACCTCCCTTTGCACGCACTGTGGCAATAGATGCTGTGCCCTCTTTTCCAAAGACCTGTACATCTGCGCAAGATTCTTCTCGGACCGCACACGGCGGTAATCATCTTCGGGGTATATCCTCCTGTGCATCGTCACGACATACTCCAGCAGCAGCATCGCCTTGTCCGTCTGGCCGTTTGCATAGTGCAAGCTTGCGAGCTCGTGTAGTGAGCTCAGATAAAACGAATCATTCATGCTATCGGTCCTCATCCCCCTGACCACCAGCCGCTCCAGTATCGAAAATGCCTTCGTGGTGTCCATCTGGTCTCCATGCTTATAGACCTTTGCCAGCTCAAACTGCGATACTAGGAGAAACGGGTGGTCTTCTCCAAAGATCCTTTCTCGAAAAGCCACCACGTGCTCCAACATCAATTTTGCTTCGTTTAATCGTCCATCTTGGCGATACGCCTTCGCAAGAGCATGCTGTGACCCTATTGTTTCCTGATGCTCTTCACCCAAGGTCCGTCTCCGAACCGCCACCACGCATTCGAGTATTGGTATTGCCTCCTTGTATTTTCCAAGTTCGCGGTATACCTTTGCAAGGACATCTTGTGACCTTATTGTTTCTTCGTGCTCTCCCCCGAGGACTTGCTCTCGTATAGCCACCACACTTTCCAGTATTGACTTGGCTTTTTCATGTTGCCTATCAAAATAGTAGGCTCTCGCAAGCTCATGTTGAGATGCTTGACGGATTAGGTCCTTGTCACCCCGCAGCTCCGTGTAAGCCACCAGGTTCTCCAGCATCGACACAGCCATACGGGTCATTCCTTCCACTATCATGCATTGCCCTACACGACAGGCTAGAATGAGAGAGCTCTCATTTTCAAAGCTGAAATTGTCCTGCAAAATCCCCAGTATATGCGGAATATACGTTATCCATTTCTCGCGGCGGTTGTATTGAGGACCCAGGAAGACCGAGGCAACATGCTCCAAGGCAAGATTCGGGTTCATGGTGGCTGTAAATCTTTCTCTTGCCCATACAGTAGCAGCTATATGCACAAGCCTGTGCATGTCGTAGAAGTCCTCCCGTTGTAGGGTTAGAAACCCGTAGCCGAGCAAAGTACCCATAGCATGCAGAAACTCCTCCCGAGACTCTCCTTCAGGGAGCAGAGATCTCGGTATGCTTTTGGGCTCGATGTAGGAGATGAATGCTAGCAGTTTTGCTGCTATTGGGTCTGTTTGAGTGATTTTCTCAAATGATGCCAGCCATGTCAAGGCAATCGCATTCTGGGATTCTTGATATCGCGTCGAGTCTCGAAAGTGCCGACTCAAGATACTGATTTGGTCATACGGAACACCCTGCAGGAGACTAAGAAACTCTCGGATTGTGACTTGGTTGACATTTATGTATGCCACTGCTTGGGCGATTGCCAGTGGGATCCTTTCGAGGAATTCGAGCAATGACTTGATGTCCTCATCCACACCGACAAAGTCATTATTGATCAATGACCTTTGGAAAAAGGTTTCTGCTTCATCCATGCCCATTTCCGACAACATGACGACATTAGTTTCAGCAAAACCAACGGCAACTCCACGATCACGAGTGGTGGCTAAAATACAGCCCAAGTCGCTTCGAGGTAGATACTGTAAGAGGCCTCCAGGCGCTGAACTGTGTCCGAATATGAGGTCGTGATCATCTGCGTTGTCTAGGACGAGAAGCCACCTGCCAGCCGCTTCTGTACTAAAATATTCTTTGACAATTAGCTTATCATCTTTTCCTGTTTTGTTTGATTGAGGTATGTGTCTCGCGATGTCAGTACAGGCTTGTTCGAATGTCGCAACACTTAGAGCGGGAATCCAAAGAACTGAACATTCCCTACCACCCTCGTCTCGCAACACATCTTTCATCAAGTATGCAAGCTGTAGGGCGACTTGTGTTTTGCCCATACCACCTAATCCTACCAGTGCAGCCCGGCTGAAGCTTTGTTTGTAAAAAAGCATTTCTTTGAGCTTCTCCAAGACGCCTTGTCTGCCGACAAACCGCTCGTTCTTGAGCAATGGGATAACGCAAGTAGTTGTATGTGCATGATCCTCTTTGCTAGCTCCATCATCTATAGAGATCTCTTTTGGAATCGAATCAGTCCTGTGATGGCGTTCCAATAGTGATTTGCAAGCAGATGCAGCCGTTGCTGCCGCGAATGGCTGCCATGCCTTGGACTTGTGAGAATCAGCGTAATCGCAAACACTCTTAATCACCACGTATGGCAACTCGTTGTAAAACCCAGCGGCCTCCATTTCAAATCCAATGACCTGGAGCTCTTGGCTCAACGCATCACGGTCTTTTGCAGACTTTAGGACCATATCGGCTGATGCAAGACGTCCAAAGTGCACAGTTGGACGCTGAGCCTCGTTGGCTCTTTCTGGTTCCAACATCTGCTTTGCGACTATTCTTTCTCTCGGAATGATGTATCTTATATCACAATTCGTCTCAAGACATGAAGCCTTGATCGCTTCTTCACATATGGGGTCTGAGTCGGTAAGACAACGGCGGCAAATACATGGTGCACGTTGATGATGTTTGTGGCGATATTCAGAAGCAAACAATCTGTCCTCTGCTGCTCCTGGATAAGCGTACTTTGCAATGTTCTGGCTGCTGGCCACTTCCTGGAGGTGTTGCAGATGATGGCTTATCCGATCCTCAAACGACCGCGTGCCCCTGTCTGTCTGTATCACACCCAGCAAGCCACGAACACCCCTACTGAAGTTGCTTGTGTTGTATCCAAGGTCTTGTGAGCGTCGAAATCCGTCTGGATATCGCTTGCCGTAGTCGTAGAGCTTCACTTCATCACCAATGATGACATCGCCTAGCAGAATCTCTCCCCGTGGGCCTGATGGAACCCCGCCACAGATTCCAACAAGCAGCAGCAGCTGGATGGCAGTGAAGCTCACGCGCATGTTCGCAACAGCCTTGGCAGCGCTGATTTTGCCCATGCTCTCGAGAAGGATGATGACAACATTGTGATTGCCGATACACCCCGCCGTGTAAAAGTTCTGGTCACCCTCTGCTCGGCCAAAGTCTTCATCCCAGAACTCGTCAACGAGCAGGCAGACTGCGTCGTATTCGACTTGCAGGGCGCAGACAATTGCTATCTTGAAGTCGCTCCGCCGTATCGGTTGGGTTGGACCAGTATTATTTGACATTGTGCTTGCACAAGGTAGAAGAAAGTAGCGATAATAGAAGATAATAGAGGGTAGTAGCAGATGATGGCGATACTACCTTTGCGACCGACTCATGATGCGCTTGTCTTTCATTGTTTCTGCCTTGGCTTGCGGCTGAGAGAGTGAGGTTGTTAAATACCATGTGAGGGGAGGGGCTGTGTCATTGGTTGCATAAAGGAGCGACTCCCTTGTACCTGCGCAGTATCACTTACTTTCCAAGTTTTTTTCTAGCATCTGCTACCATCGCCAGGTACTATCTCCGGGTAGCATCTGATAGATTCCAATGTGAAAGAGGATGCTGTATAGCTGACTCGGGCCCTGGTCAACAAATTCTTTGGAGAGCGGCGATATCTATGCAACGCCTTACTGGTGCATTTGGTATGGATGCTTTCCTCTATTGGCATTCCCCAGCCATTGTGAGCATAAGACACTACATCAGTGGATGTGAGTAGAGAGACAATCTAAGAGTAAATTGAAAGGATCTCGGATTGTGTGAATATTAGTATGCAGCTATGAGAACAAGTAACAAGAGAACTATCAACCTATAACCAAGTCATCATTGATGCTGTCGCTGTTGAACAGACAAGCAAACCAAGTAGTTGGAAGCTACTAGGTAGACAACAAGAGGCTCAAAATCTCACACTGTACAACACCAAACCAGCCACTCCGCAGTCCGTGCGAATAATAGCCTTCGCACACTCAATCCAAATGTGGGGTGCAACATCTTGAATGCGGAATACTTTCAAAATTTCATCGTCATCAGTCCAAACAGCTCCTCCAAGCCAAACAACCTCCTCCTCAGAACCCTCTCACCAACCCCCAAAACCACCGCCAACATGGATATGTACAGCTTCCCCCCTTCACACCATTAAAATACGAATGTTCAACTAACGATCATCGCCCAATTCCCAGGTTAACATCCGCCGAGCAGCGCACTCTCGAGCAGCGCATGCAAAAGCGTCAAGTCAAGGAATTCGTCGGCGTACGTCTCCCATCCATTCCCAACGCCCACGCATACATAAACAACCCAAAAAGAAAGAAAACAACACACATGGGAAACTAACACAAACACCAGGCTTTCGGCGGCCTCGTCGAGCACTGCTTCACCTCCTGCGTCGACGACTTCACCTCAAAGTCCCTCTCCTCCAAGGAAACCGGATGCCTCAACCGCTGCGTCCTCAAGTGGATGGCCACCCAGCAGCGCGTCAGCGAGCGATTCCAGGAGCACAACGCCCAGATCACGCAGCAGATGCAGAAATAAAAGACATACAACACGACAATCTACACGATTGGGGGAAAAAAACGTAAAAACGACTTGTTCCACGACACAAAAATCTTTGCTATCGATGACGGGATCGACGGAGGGGGGTTTTCCATTCTCCCTCTAGGCGTCTTTGAGTCTTTGTTGAGGGACAAGTTCCCCCAACTTCCGAGAGCTTGTATGATACAAAGCGTTATGGTGGGAAAGGCAAGAAAACGAAAAAAGAAAGAAAGGAAACCCAGCTGGGACGCAATCGCTGGAATACACAATTTTTGGGCTCATGGAGATGGAGTCTTCTGTATCATTACTTACGGGATATGAAGGAGTAGTTGGGAGTGGCGACAGGGGTGTTCTAGTCATGTCTCACTGTTGGAAACCATCAACTAATATACACCACGCGGTATATAAAAATCTTGCTCAATGGGAATCAAGTTTAGATGCTCGAGTTCATAACCGAAACAACCCTGTTATCCACGAGAGGACTTGTATGATACATCTGATGCGGTAGTAGCCCAACGTCCAACGCCTAATCCTGAAATTCATTACCATCCCCATGTTTCTCTAGTTGCGTAACTCGAACCGCAGAATCCGACCTTTATTTCATTTCAACCTTCAAATTCCTCGCCGAGCACGTCTCGAACCGTCTCAAGCTGTGCCACCACCTTCTCCTCCAACAAGTTGTCACAATCCCCTGCCAATTTTCTTCCTCTCCATTCCATCTCTCGTTGCCCTAGAGGCAGGAGCCGCTCCTTCAAAAGACGTCTGCTGGAGAGCCAGTAGTCTACATTCTCTAAAAGTCCCGTCGCATCCCATTCGACCGGGGGAATATCTCTGCTATTGTTCATCCGAAGAGCCGCAAGCACGCGCGTGAGTAGCGCCAAAGAGTGAATCTCCGAGGTGCCAAGAAGCGTCAAGTATTGGGTAGACTTCTCTTTGGTTCGACTGGCTCCAGGCGCTTCAAATCGCTCCACGCTAGCCTGCAGTAGATGCGGGAACTGGTTCAGAACATATGTAATTTCCGGGGCAACCGTTGCTCCTAGAGCAGTGAGCAAATTCAACATGAGTGGAAGCATTCCTTTAACCCATATTCCGTAGCACCGTTGTGCAATTGACGCATCCGCATATGGCGAGACGTTAGTCCTCAGCATGAATTTGGTGAGGTTAGCTGAGAGGATAGAGCCAAGGACTCCGTCACAGGCAAGCTGCTCCGCCAGCAACGGAAGAGTTGAAAGCTCCAGTAAGAACAGGATGCTGAGCTCGCCATAGACGGGATCGCCATGATCGCCCAGCTTATCAGCCCATGAGTACAGCGATGTTGCTGCATGCGTAGCATCATGTGATGCCATGATGTTCAATATTTGAGTCTGGGATTGTTCAATATTAGGGACACTCAGACAAGCCTGCATAATTGCCGTAAGGAGAGCAAGATCCTCTGGGAAGACATCTGTCTCCTTATCATGAATCAAGCTAACCAGTGACCGGAAGCCCCTTGCAACCACGTTGTCTAGTATGTTGAGAATGGTTTGGGTGACAGTCACCATGGACCCCTCGAGATCTGCTTGTGAACTCGCCACCATCCTACTGGATGTCGTTTGATATGCCCGCAGCGTGACGAACAGTGCCTTTAGAAGTGTGCGGTAGTAACCAAGAGAGTCAGATTCAAACGGCTCATCAACACTATTAATCGTGCCGATCAAAGTCTCCAGAAGCTGGTTAACATCCGTGACTGCTAGAGTGGACTGGGCCAAGCGCTGAATTAGAATGAGAGCCAGATCGGCTCTTGTGTCAACGATTTTGAGGAAGATGCTCTCGGGACCAGGGACCAGCTGGTTGGCATTCAGACACTGCTGAGCAACTTGCATCATGTACTTTTTGGTAGCATCGCTCTCGGGGAAGCATGTGCTTAATTCAAGCAACAAAAGCTCCCATGCGTGGAAGAGCGCCTTGAACAAGTTACAAGTCAGCATCAAATTTTACATACATATCATTAGGGGGGCAACACTTACGATCTGGGCATCGACCAAAGACAGGTTGGCGTTTGCCAGCTTCATCTCGTTCAGGAATCCAGCTCCCCTCCTTCCTTGCCATCCGGGATCAAATCGCAAAACCTCATCGGCACGATCCAGGTCGTAATAGTAATTTTCGCCCAGCTCCCGTGGGCTCACCAAGGTACGCTTAAAGTTGTCCAAAGAGGTTCCGAAAAACTTATTAGAGAAATTCTTAGCAAAGTTGTTGTGGAGAGACTTGTTGTAGCTAGCCACCTCGACACCGTCACGAAGGTAGTAGTCCAGGTCGTTGGTCAGTCCTTTGGCGAATGTGTCCGCGTTGCCAAGATGACGCGAATGGTAGAGCTGCATTGCAAATGTCTCCGCAATGTACGCAGCAATTCTCGCCTGGGTGCCGGCCAGCACCGCATCTGACTTGACAGTTTGGTGAGAGGGCTTCAAATCACGCACATAGGCTCGAAGCCCATCCATATAGGCGGTGTCCTTCTGAAGAGTAAACACCGTCCAAGGCCAGTAATTCTGCGCGGATGTAACGAAATCCAAGACGACGAGGGCTTCTCCAGTCTCTAAATCTTTCAAAATTTTGAGTTTAGATAAGGCCGTTGCAAATACAGAATCATCAGACGTTTCATTCTTCTTGGCATCCTTCTTCATTGCCTCTCGTGGCGTTTGCCCTGTGAGAAGGCAGTTAGACATCCACTGCTGTCGATTTTTTAGTATCGACGAAAAGAATCTCCAAGTGATCTTTACTTCATTGGCTAACACAAAGGGCTGACCAATGGCTGCCAAAATATGGAGGAAAGATTTGGAAACCTGAGGGCCGAGATATCCTAGCAGGGAGGGTGGTTCACCGGTGGACTGGGCGGCGTTGATGACGAGCGCCTCCAGCATCGACAACGCCGGCCCGCGGAAATGATCTGATACTGCGCAGAGCCGGGCTGATAACGTCGAAGTCTTGAATAGATACGTCTCAACTAAAGTCGAAGGACGTTCAAGGTAGTTTGCAACCCGAAGAAGAGTTGTAGAAAAGTCGAGCACTGACGTGACTTCGCTTCGAACGGCTTGGGATCGCAGGGGATATAGGGTTGAGTCCGGTCTTGTGAGAGTAGATATGAATGAGGAGAGAAGAGGTTGGAATCGCAAACTTCCGCTTGATGGCGATAGGAAGCAATCAATGATGTGGGAAGCGGCAGGCCGAAGACAGGATGTGAGGTTGTCAGACGTAGGAGAATCTCCCATGCCATAGGTGTAAATGACAATCTTGTTGAGAATGGGCACGACTGTCTGTAGTAGCGATGTCCTACTGGTTTCCGAGTCAAACATCCACGTCGACGTGTTTTCAAACACGTCAACCGACGTCTGTGCAATCGAGAAGCTAACTTTGGAGAGCACCTTGTCGGCAGTCCCAATCCACGGATTCGACTCTGGGTGCTGTCGGCCCAGGGGTTTGTTTTGAGCCCGACGCTGGACGGCGGAAGACATGACAGTGTCGATAAGCGCGGAAAACAGCGACAGCGAGGATGAGAGAAATTCGAATCTCTCCGAGACCAGGTCAAGACTGCCTGTGATCTTGGTGAGTTTGCCAGCTCTTGATTCAGAGTTCAACAACTCTGTCCTTGCGAGGTACGACCACACTCTGCTGGGCTGAACCTGGAGAACGGCATGCAGAAACTTGACACATGCGGTAAGGACGCTCACAGCCGTATCTTCAGTCATGGCCAACTCATCCTGCATGTAATAGTCCATCGTTTCGCACACGATGGTGACAATATCTTTCCCAGCACTGATGTGGGTGCTGGTCTCGGATAGCAGGTCGTTATCATAATGGAACAATGCGTGGCCATCTCCTTGCTTTGCCACCTTCAGCTGCTCCATTCGAAGCAGTGACGCTAACAATGAAATGACTTCGGCTGTCTCTTCCGGTTGCAACATTCCCAGCTCGCAACGATAGCCTTCTTGGGAAAGGCTAATCTCCAGTCGCCGTCCCAGTAACGACAAGGTTGAATGAGGGTAGTCCATCAAGACAACACGGCCGGTATCCGTAATAAATCGCCCGTAGGTGCCTACTGGTATTCTGTATGCGTCATCCTCAATGTACCTCCGACTCCAAGAGGATGATAGAGAGATCAGGGGAACCTCCTCTAAAAGGCAGAAGGAGTTGGTGTTTTCATCTTCTTGGACTAGCTCATATCCTTGAAACGTATCTGGTAGTGTGAATGTGATGGTCGGAGTCTTGCGCAGCAGTTCGAGAATTATGTCTGTCCTATCATCTTGAATCTGTTGTGAGGCAGTACAGAGCGTGCGACAGAGCGTGATGAAAGGAAGGAATTCGTAAGGGTATCGATCAAGTGCCTGCTGGAAAAAGAAGTCCATGGCTAGATCATCCCGCAGCATAGACCCAAGGATGTCCTGGGCGATGGGCATATTCTCCGACGCGGATAGCTCCCAGTAACCTCGACCAGGAGAAAGGAGGGAGTGCAGACAGCTCACAGAGTCCGACTGATACCCAACAAATGGGTACGAAACTTTCAATAGCTCTAGAAATATGACACGAAGGCGCGAGCTAATCAGGGGTAACAAGCTGCCGTCGATAGACGGACCCAAAGTTTGAGTCATCTTTGACATGATATCAAAGACTCTGCCTTGGGCTGTAGCGACAGCGGCCAGTTGCTCAACAACCTGCATATCCCTCTGACTAGACGAATTCTCAAGAAAGCCATCGAATTTCGAAGATTCGATGGAGTAGATGCTTCCAGCAGAGTTTCGTCGAGTGGGTGTGCGCATCACGCTCCTAGTTTCGAACTTTTCGCGGGCGCTTTGCTGTATCAAGTTGTCCCGCTTATCGGTTCTAGTTTGGTAGGATACATTGAGTCGGTGAAGTAGAAAAGACCACGTGAAGATGACAGGGCAAGCAGTTTCAGAATCTAACCCAGCCGCGTCCAAGATGCTCTTGTGGACCTGCTCCAAAACATCTGGCGAAAGCAAATACGAGTC